TGAAGTCGCCCCTTTTTTAAGGAATCGTACATAATAAAGTGGTATTCTGTGTAAAAGTTGTAAACAATTAATTCTCTACCCGATTGCTTTTTTAATGGCCCTGGTTTGGAGAAATAAATTAAAAGTCTGAGACTGTTTTCACAAATCACTATGAAATGTTGAACATTGTTGTTCTTTTACGACAAGCGATCAACTTGAAGAGTGGGTCCTCTCTGACCATATAGAACAGGGATAGTCAATTCCGGTCCTCGTGGTCCTCAGCCCTGCATGTTTTACTTGTTTCTCTGCTCCAACACACCTGATTTGAATGAATGGATGATTTTCAGGCTTCTGCAGAACCTGCAAGAGGTAATTAAGTGACTGAATCAGGTGTGCTAGAGAAGGGAAAAAAGTAAAACATGCAGGGCTGCGGACCTCAAGGACCGGAATTGACTATCCTTAATATACATAACATCAGTTTTTTTCATCTTAAAACATCTTTAATCATTTCTACTTTATAGCTGTTCATTCCAACACTATTTTATCTTTACATTAAATCTTTACATAATTAGTTTTGCATTACAGTTATTCCTGTAAAACCAGTATGTAATCTCTGCTGGAACTGATGTTGGGCAGTACTGAAAGTGTTTCAGCTTTAAGGCTGAGTTATAGTCGCGCTTTGGTCCGCTTCTGAGTGCGCGCACACTGAGCCGTGCGGCTTCCTGCGTTTATAGTTTCGCTGCTGACACGCGGTGGTGCGCAAGCCAAGCCTTTCTACACACAGATTCATCTTTCTGCATCGCTTCAGCATAGGGCTGCACCGATTAGTTGAAATAATCGATGACGTCTATTATGTAAATTTGTCGACACAGATTTTTTATTATCGATTCGCTATATTACATAACCACCACGTGAATGTTCATGYAATTCCATTTCGGTACCTAAACGCATCATTGCGACCGTATTGGCATAAGAGTGGTGAGTTTTTCTTGCTTGTTCTGAACGCAGCATCGTGCAAGAGCGTAATGACGTCAGCAGCCGCTGCTTCAGTTCAGTCTGAAGCTTGAAAACAAGCCTCGCAGCTCCTGGAGTAAAACTCACCTAACAGACCACCTCTGAATTATCTGGTAGATTAATTATCTTGTGAACACGATGTTTGCTTGCTCAAAGTAAATAAAGTACCACCACTTTCTTTATTTCATTCACCATTAAACAGAGAGCGGTGTTAGGTCGAGCCACGTTCCCCCATCAGACGGTTCCCCCAGCGTCTCAAACAACAGAGGAGCTTCCCGACACACGTCTGACCTAAAGAGCACAAGCAGCCAACAAGTGTTGGACGTGTTCTGGATGTTCAAAATGTAGCTTAAATACCTTTTATTAAATTTAACTGTGTCCTCTTTTGTTTGATTTAAACTTATTTGCCTTCCATGGACCTCCATCACATAATGTTTCTAGTGGGGAAACGACATCAATAGAAACACGTGGAGCTGGATTTTAATTTGTGCAATAAGACAAAACAGTCTTGTTGTTTTCAACAGTTTTCACCTTAAA